AGAGAGAGAGAGAGATTTATATAGTGAGTTTGTTCTAATTCCTTATTGGATGTATTTTTGCAGGAGGGGTTATTATAGCATAAAAATGGATGGTGTCATTGTCAGAAGGGTTATCCCCTCAGACAACAGTTGTCTATTTAATGCTGTTGGGTTCGTCATGTTTCCTGTGATCCTCCATTATATTTGTTTTTCATTGTTGTTTCTTTTTCATTAGGATGTTGGTTTCGATTGTCCTTTTAGTTAAGTAAGTTCTTTACTTTCTACTATTGAACTTTGTTTCAGATATGTCATGGATCATGATAAGCACAAGGCTTCAGAATTGAGACAGGTACTTTTATGACTATATTCATTCAATTTCAAGAATTGTATATGCTTTTTATTTTGAAAGTAGTCATTATGTAGGATTCTCGTGGTGTAAATTCAAAAATTTTCTTCGTTTCTTTTGTTCACAACTGGGTAATTCTACTTACAATGCTACATTACAAGAACGAAAGGAGAAAGTAAAACCTACTACAAGCTATAGATCGTAATTCTTACTGCCTTAAAGAAAATAAAACTTTATTTCATAAATATAATTCAATTACAAGTAGAATTCTAAGGTCTGGGCAGGCACCCAGTGAAGTCAGACGGAAATTGCTTTTTAAATTCGACCAAAAGTGCATAATGGGTCATTTTGACCCCTAAGTTTGTATAAAAAAGTTATGAGGTTTATTTTTGAACCCCCAAAGTAAAATGTATGTTGCGAAATGGAATAAATTACAAAATTTGACACAAATATATGCGTATATGTACATTAGGATAGCAAATATTTTTAAAAATGCTATGATTTTCCACTACAGGGCTAAAAATGGATGATTTTCCACTATAGGGCGCCCGAGGATCTCGGTGCCCGCCTAGGCACTGGGCGCCAGGTTGACCGCCTAGGGGCCGCCTAGCGTTTTTGAATACCTTGAGTATTGGGGCTGAGAGCATGAACTTTAACACCATTGGGGTTTTTTTTTCAAACCTTAATCTTCGGAGCATGCCACAATGTGGCACCAACCCCTAATCACAAGACCACACTGGGCTGGGTGTACCTCCTCTTCATGCTAGCCTAGGTTGTCAAGCCACCTTCTTTATGGCCTTGCCTTAGGTGGGGTGTGACCCCACTATGAGAGAGAGAGAGAGAGAGAGAGAGAGAGAGAGAGAGAGAGAGAGAGAGATCACATACTAGTAGTAGTAGGTAGTACGAACCGAACCCCGTACCCCCGTACGTACGTACCGTACCGTACGACGGACGTACGGACGTACGACCTACTACTAA